CAGCATCATGTGTATCAGTGTCCCCATGCTGAAAAATGGCAGTGGGGGTTCTTTAACTAAAGCTGGTTTGATGAAATGTAAAGTGCCGCTGCTGCCATTGTTCAGTGCGGGGACGCTAATACACGTGACACTCCTGGTGCTTTCATCAGAATGACTCTTTGAGGCGTTCTAACTAAAGCACCCCCTGCCTCCCGGAGCACATCTATAAATTCCCTAAAGTTTTACCCTTCTCTGCCTTCTACTTAATTTTTGGAACACTGAGAGGCTAACATGGTAATTCTGGAGTGGATTGTAGCCAGGAGGATCTAGCAAATATGTCCAAGGCAAGAATTTTTGTGGGTGATATCGGACTAGCCCCATGTTTGGGGTAGACTTTGCCTTCCATTCAAAAGCTTGTCTTTCTTAGAGGCTGAGATTCTGACATTGCTTGTGGGTTTTTTGCACTACTGTAGCTATGCTGATGTAATTGTACTGTTAAAACCCCACTGTACATACCTAACACCAGTATAAAAAGTGACATACTGGGGAGGTTTTTTTGGTTTCTGGTTCATAACAAAAGTCTAGTTGCTCTATTTGGCTAGTGTAGACATGGCTTTAGCTGTCACTTCATTTTCCTGGTCTGTCCCCCACAAAGGCCACCGCCAAATAGGATTGAGCTCATCAGGTATATCCTCACAAAACTGAGATTATGGCTTATTCTAGGCTTATAGCCAGTAGCATAACCAAGGGGTAAAGAGTGACCAGGGCAGCAGCCGACTTGGAGGGATGCCCCAAAATAGCTGCCATGGTAGTTACTGGCTGGCTGGCCACCACCATCCCAGACACATTTGCTGCCTCAAGCACAGAACTGCTCTGTTACGCCTCTGCTTGCAGCCTTTTTAATTGCTGTCCTTAGAGATGAATTACACAGGGCTTCTGCTGAAACAGCTGAATTTGGCCAGTCAGAACTGAAAATGCCAAACCATTCCAGAACACTGTTCCAAAGTGATTTTAAGTCAATTTATGTGTGTCTGAAATGTATGATTTTATAGTTTGTTTTTTCTGGTCAGCAAGAGCTGTGTTGAAACAAGGTGATGTAGCTAGAAGAGAAAGGACCTATATGCTATAATTAATTTAATAAAGATTGGTTAGTATATACAAAGCAAAGATTGGAAGAGGCTAAAATAACTAATGACGTTTTCTTAAAAGGAATGTCTGATTGACAGAAGTACAAAGGAATGACTTCTACAAACAATGGCAAATAGCCAGTGATTCTTTGTGACTCAGCTGCAGCCCGAGTGAATTGCTGTTAACAAGCAACAAAATGTAAATAATCTCAACATGTGGCAGTTGACACGTTTTGGGCATAAATGACCGATTAATTCAAACTTTAGATGGTTGGGGGTAAAAAACAAGAGTTGAAGGTGCTTTCTAATGGATTAATAACTCAAATATTTTAAGTCGACTTGTTTTTATCTAACGTGAATTAATGCCAGTGGGTAGAATGTGTGTACAGTTTTGGATTCTGAGCTCCTGTAAGGAGGCAAAGGCACATGGCTGCCTTTGCTGACAGATAGGTGACTGCTGGAGAGCGGAAGGTTCTTGTCACTTCTGAGTATTGGGAACTCTGCGTAACTGTAGATATTTACACTATAAACTCCTGCTTGAACTTGGCCTCTAGTCCCCAGGGTGCCCCCAGATTCACTCCAGAGGTATCCTTCAGGCAGCTGGGAAAGGGAAGTCCCCAACTGGACATAACTCCTGTCCAGGTTCCTTGCCTGGCTGGGGTAGGAAAAATTTCAAATCAATGAAAAGAAGAATCTAGGAGTCCACTTAGGGACTTGGAGGCCAAGAGTCTACTTCAGGGACTCCTAGTCACCATCCTGGGGAAGCGGTTTGCATTCCTTGTTCCTGAGCACTCTCTGGAATAGCAAATTGTAAAGATAGACCTTCATCTAGGGTTATGGCAAGGGAGCCATGGCTGCTCCTGATGAAGGGTGACAAAGGTCATTTCGGTCTGTGTTGGGAATGCAGGTAAAAGTCCTAGTTGACATTCTCTTGAGATCCTCATTCACCCAAGTAAGGAAGCCTCTTCTAGCTGTTCCTGTTTCCATTGCACGGTTAATGGAGAGACTCTCTTCCACAACTGTTGTTGCAGCTGTCACTGCTTCCAGGTAATGGGGTGAGGGACCAAAGGTGCTGACGTATCACCCCATTTGAGCGCCTGACCACTGCTTGTGGAAGGATGAGGGGCTTTCTACTATAGGGTTCTTGCTACAGGCTGAAGAAGGGAGTCCTGACATTCATCAGAACAAGGGGCCTGCGAGGGGATAAAGCCCTTCCAACCAGTGTAGCCTTTTGATTCTTTCAACCTGTACGAAAGGATAAGGGGAACCCAGATCAATGGAAGAGAACAAGCAGTGGGGAAGATTCAGCCCTTGCAATTACTGTCGTGGGGGGGCTGGCAGGGTGAAGAGATGACTTCCAGGGCACCCCCCACATTTGCTTTATCCTCTCCCTCTGCTCCCCTCTCTGCCGTCCTCCTGTGCAGCATGTTGTTACTGTCAGAACTCAAGTTCACATAATGTGCTCTCTACTCTGGCAGAGGGGAGGATGGGGCAGTGAGAGAGAGAGAGAGAGAATGGGAATGCAGAATGGAAAACGAATGACTGAGGAGATGGCGAACGCTACCCGAATACAGAAGGACTAGACAGTGGTCAGAAAAGAAAAAGTAAGAACATTGGCTGCAATTTGGAGCATGGCTGGTGCTCTTCAGAGCTAGAGTTTACCATCCCTGTTCTTTGGGAAGCAAGTGTAGCTCCACAGGGGGGAGCTCCCAGTGCCACCCTGCCCTTCTGCAGCAGACTCCAGTGACAGGGAGGCCTTCCCTGCCACCACTGGGTCGCTGCTGTCCTGGGCGAGGTCAGAAAGGAACCTTTTCTTGGGGCGCAAGGAAAGCCGTGTTTATTTGGCCTGGAGGGGAGGGCTGAACCTTCTTGCTTCCTGGCTGGGTTGCAGCCTGCCTGACCACATTTTTTTTTCTAGTATTTATTTTTATACACCTCCACCGCCAACACTCCGCCAAGTGGCCCCTATAGTTCACTCAGTAGCTCAAAGCACATGAAAAACCCCTTACAGTTTGCACTGAGCAACAGCACGCCCACACACCCGTCCCCACCCCCTACCCTCCTCCGAGGGCCGACTCCTGGAACAGTCTACCACCACATGAAGACTGCCATTTCTTTCCCGCCGTCCTCGTCTGTCTTCCTGTAGCACCAGGACATTTCACTTAGTCCCAGTTTAATAGTCGTCAACTGTGGGGGCCTCAGCGTGTTTACGAGCCTGGCTTTCCACAGTGCAGACCCGACAGCCACCCTGCCCACAGGGAACAAAGCCCCGGGGCCTCCGCGCTCGGCACTGTCCACCCAGTCATTTTGTGGCTGCAGCCAGTGGCTTCGGGGGCCCCAGCAAGCAAGGAGCAAGCAGAGGGACGCGCCTGCCTGTCTGCCAGGCCGGCGGTGGCAAGGGGCACAGGTGCCAGGGCCCCCACGGGGCGTTCTCCTGACTTCAGGAGCCCGCTGCCTGAGACGCCCCCACCCCGCGGCGCCGCTGCCAAAACTTCTGCGTGGGCGGGGACAGCAGGCGAAGCAGGCAATTCCCGACCTGCCTGCGCCCGACCAATCCCGAAGCGAGCCGGAGCGGCGGGCCAATGAGGCGGCGCGGCCTGACGGGCACGGAGCTGTAGCCAATCCTGGGCAGGGGGGCGGGGCCCGGCCGGCGCGCGTGTGGTCGCCCTGCAGCGCAGAAGCCAATCGGGGGGCGCGGGGCGTGCGCCGGAGCCAATGGGCCGGGGGCT